ATAAGTCACATAACTATACCCAGCCTAGAAAATTTGCTATCCCACGAGTGTCAAGCTTTTTCAGGTAAGTTTTTGGTGTATTTATCTGCTGCTGTAGCAAGAAATAAATGACCCACGTAAGTTAGTCTGTGTTCACGTCTTGACTGCGACCATTCCCGCCAAAACCAACTCCTGCGGAAATGTTGACATTTCAGCCTCCGAATCTATCGGTTTACTCTTCGAATAATTCGTTTTCTATAACAATGTCGTCATCATCTTTCACAATATCATTTAGAACGTCGAAATCGTCCTCTATAAACTCTGACACAAGCAGCAGAACACCCGACATTTTCTCTGTTTGAGAGAGGAATGGAACGAGACTGGTCGTGGTCGCGATCCATTCGTCCCCACGAAGTTTTCGAACCTTGACCCGGAAATTTTGTTGAATTGATCGCGCCCCAGGATTCCGGATTCCACGAGCAAAAATTCCCTTACCTGAGGCGATTATTCGAGACAACTCGCAAAGAAAAGAGATTCCTCATCATTGTATATCACGCTTTTATAAATATCATGGTTATAGTTAAAAACTTTGTAGCAGACGAGCAAGTCTTAAATTAGAAACCAGTATTACTGTGTTGCCCTTACCACGTCAAATTGGTTAAAGCGTTTAAAGTTGAATATTAATGTCAAACGAGGGAGATGTGGCTTGATACTAAATCACCGTTGTAGAACGTTTTATACATTATCCCCTCAAGTAGTTCAAGTCTTGATGTTGAAAAAAAGGCATTAAATTTTAATTTCAAAAAAGCTATGTATCGTGTTGTCTTTCTGCAGAAAAGTGTCATTTACTGTTTGACCGGTTCCAAAGATCGCACACAATATCATTGTTTCTTCTCGCTACACCAGGTTATGAAGGTTTGTGAACCCGATATACAAAAAAAGCGATGATCCTTCCATTGACCATGGGTACGTCCTTGCCTCGTACCCAGTCGCCTCTCTCTCTCTCTCTATGAAAAAATTGCGCAAAAAGGAAGTCGGGAAGGAGAAACTTCTTATCTTTCTCCTTCTCATGAACCCTTGCGCTTCGTCGCCTGTCACTCGCGTTTCGCGCTCGCCTCTGTGCGAAAATCGACGCGCCTAAGGAGGAGGCTGGGATACGTCCATTGTTTCAATTGTGATTTTATGAAAGACAAAACTGTGACAACGAAAATCATAAGGCAAAAAAGTGTGACTCGATGGATTTATTTCAAGTGTCGCTGCATGATGTCTAGCAGCGGGAGGAATGTACATAGCTTGTTGGAGATCTCTGGATACAGTAACTAAATATTTTTTTATCTTATTTACATCTTTAGTGTATGAGTGGTTAGAAACGTATGCCTCATTTCTGTTCTGGGCATAATTTATCTGTCCGGCAGGACTGAGGCTCGTGAATATAATACCATTGTTCAAGTAGTGGTTACTTCAATCTTCATGTTCAGCGGGTTCTCCCTCGTCTGCAGCATTGTTTGCACCTATGAATACAAAGGTTGAAAGTCAGGTCTAGCGTACCCAGGTCACGAGCAACTCGCAATGCCCCAGCCGAAGAAGGTCCTTAGAAGTAGCGCCAGTACGACTCAATTGAGCTGAATATAGAGCGCGCGGGACTCGAAACCAGACATACTGATTGCGAGTCCGATGCACTTTATACCACTCAACCAAATAAATAAAGAAAGTCATAACTTACTTTGATTTGGCGTGACCGGAGCCTCACCAGGAACAGAACTGCAAGAAATTAAATAGTGCAATAAGAGAGCTCTTAGGGTCAAATATTTAAACGAAGTCTAACTTAAGCCGCGGTTTAACGAATCTTTGAACCTCCAGATCTCTTCTTTGGTGAGTGGGTTGTTTTCAGAAGATAAATGCTTTTCTAGTCTTCTCTACAGCGTATATGCTCTCATAGAACTGATCACAATAAATGATGTTTCGATGAAATCGTTGGGCAAATTGAAAATGACTTAGAACGTGGTTTTGTTAAACACTGGCTAAACTTTGTCTAAATATTTGGCCCTTAGAGTTTATCCTTCACAGCATAAGTCGGCAACTTGAACAATTCGCAGATAACAGTTACACATGTAATCATAACTATAACTATAACAAAATTGTCAAATCTGATTGGCTATCAACTGCCCTGATTTCAGCCTTAATTGGACAGTTTAATAGGACAGTACGCGTCATGCCTAAGTAATTGGACAGTACGCGCCATCACGCGCGCGCTTAAATGGCTTTTTTTTTTACTGCTAGCAAAACAAAATTTCGAATTTCTTGTGTTTTGATTTAAAAAATAGCCTATTATATCACAAATTTTATTAAAGTTATGATTAATTGGTAACAGAACTTCGTGTCGTTCAATTCGGTCTGTAATCATACTCGTGATTAAACAAATCGGACTCGAGCTACGCGGTCGTCCGATTTTGTTAATCACTCGTATGATTACAGACCGAATTGGACTCCACTCAGTCCTGTTACCATTACAAATCTTCGTTGCGCCAACATCTCAAGGTACGGTAAAGAGCAACAAAAACGTGCAACTTGTTTTGCAACATTGCCGTAAAACGAGTTCAATAGCGAAGTTGCCTGTTTTAACAACCATGCTCAAACCTGTCAAGTTGTTGCATGTTGGGTGAATACTGACTTCAAGATTTCACGAGAGTCACGCCATACACAGAGTTACGTGACTTGCTGCAAAACAAGTTTGCCATGGGCCGGTAAAACGCGCAACGTGTACAGGTTTCGTTGCAAAAAGTAGAAGTACTCTTTACTTTCTGCAACCTGCAAAAACCTGATTTGTGCAAGGCAGGTTTGCTTCATGGGTGGTAAAACGCGTAACATCAATAAAAATCTTTGTATTTTTTTTACCCATATTCTCCAATAGGAGACTTTGTTCACAGACATGCGAGAAAGGTCGATTAAACATTTCGCAAAAAAAAATCATTCACGCAACCAGGTAGCAAGAAATCAATCTTCAGAGCAAAAAGGTTAAGCTAAAATTAATTGTTGTGAATTTACTTGGGTATCATCACCTTTCTCCCACGTTCTAAACTAAGGCAAATGCACGCGCGACTTCTTTATCATGCGCGATGAGAGAGAAACTATTTTCAATACGGTACCTCCTTCCGGATTCATCTTCCTCTCCAGTCTCCTCCTCATGTTCCTCACCAAAGGGAGCCAGCGTCAGGGGATTAAAACCAGACATTGGTTCACCAATGATACCAACCCTGTAGGATACATAACAAATGCAAAGGAACGTTACTGTGATGTTAACATTAGATTCTATCGGTCTAAAACCCCTTGTTAAGTTTAACGTTAAGTTTACAAAACGTGGTATTCCTCATCGCCTCCATATTATATATCTACAGTACAAGGGAAGACAAAACGATAAGGAATACTACGTTGTGTCAACTTCATTAGGTGTCCAAGGGGGTTTTAGGCCGGTGGGACCTAATTCTAACCAAATTAGGTTATATTTATTGGTTTGCGCGAGAGGGCGGCCATGCTAGACGACAAAATTTCAGAATTTGCGCGAAAAAAGACTAGTTCCCACCAGTGGAAAACGTTTTCGTTCTTGACCACCAACAAGCATGGTCGCCGTGAGGTTAGCTGCAAACTAGCAGTGCATCAAATGGCTTGTACAACTACCGTTTTAACTCGATTTGATGGCGCGGCGTTTCCGATGCGGCCTTTATTTAAGGGCGGCGTGTATCCGAGAGCGGTATTTATTTCAAAACCACATGATTTCTTAAATCATCGAGGACAGTGACGGTGAATCATTTGCAAATATTATGTGAAGCAGAAAGATGTTTAAAGTTGTAATGTCTCTTCGATTTTACTAAGATAGAATCCTAAATGTCTGCATGGCGTAGATTACCAAGTTGGACCGATTTTGTTTTTTTTAGATACTCGAACAAACATCGCATTCTTCTGATTTGGTGCAGCGTTTATTAATAACAGTTACTTCCATCTGTGGCGTTTAATCGAGTAATATGGTATGTTGCCTGGGTCAACGGAGAGTAAGTGTCATTTCTAAACCACTGAAGAAGAATTTAGTTAAAAGCAGGCTTCCACCGCCAGCCAATAGGTAGTGGATCACACTCACATGCCATGACTTGTGAGTTTTTGGCGCCTTCTTCGCAACAGTCCTTGATTATTTGATTTTGTACACAGTTAGATGTTACCGGACATTTACAAAAATATGCTATAGAATATCACGAAATAGTCTAGCTTCTGAACGCTACTCACTTCACTTGCAAATGAAGATCCATTTTTTCTTCTTCATGCGGTATGTCGCTAGCAGAGTAAATAGAATTTAATGGATATTTAATTTATACATCAGTAAAAAATTAAAATTGATTTAAAAAGCCCTAAGAAAAATCGACAAAGTGCGGAATTGTGGTCTACTGGCAAATTTTTCACCTATACTCGTTTGGGGCTATGTGCGTGTAGCATGCAGCCATTTGGGTCAGCCGCAGGAAAACGTGCAACTTGTCCAAGGTCATGAAAGTGTGCAGCTAACGGCAGGTCCAGGAAATCAGAAGCGCTCACCATTTGTTTCGAAAAGCCGATAATTCAGGGGAGATTATAAATAGAACGGTTCATCCCGGTATAAATTATAAGAAAAAAAGTAAAACCTTTTAAGCCCTGTGCAAACGGATGCAACACAGTTGGCCAACAACTCCCAACATTGTCGGAAGTTGTTGCGTCCGTTTGTACGTAGCTAAAATTTTGACCGCTTTCAAACTTTGCGCAACAACACGCAACAACATCCAACAGGGTGTACAAACAAACGCAACATGTAAAACCTAACAAAGTTGGGAGTTGTTGGCCAACGATGTTGCGTCCGTTTGCACGGGCTTTAAGGCGTTACCTTTTTACCATTTTTACCGAAATGACCGAAATTTTTTATTCCATTTTGTCTGGTTAACCAGACAAAAATGGCGGTTTTTTACCAGGAGGGTTCTGGTGTTTTGCAAATGGTACAACCCTAA